CTGCCAGCCGTAAGACGTTTGCAAAAAGAATATTTTGTCGAAGTGAGATTCGGTTATTGTCTTCCTGTGTGTTTGGGGAGGGGTTGTGGTTGTGACTTTGAGATGCAAAAACATCCATTTCCTCCTCCTTTGTGTACAGATAGTCCTTGACTTACCACAGTTCATGTAGTGACTGTTCAAAGTTACGATGGCACTGAAAAAAGTTACTTACGGCTGTTTTTCACCCTTACGCCTGTTTCCACTATCACATGGTCAAAATTCAGAAGCTTGGCATCTGACTTGTATTTATGATGGTTGTAGAGTCACGTGATTCCCCTTCCAACATGCAGTGGAAGAGCCAGAATCACTTAACATGTTGCCTAAAATGTTATACCTGTTTCAAACAATTCCGTTAAAGTTACAGAAAAAGGACTTTGAAGATATTAACAAAAGGATGTTCAAATATATGTGGCAAGGGAAGAAAACACGAATTAATGTTAAAATGCTACAGGATGCTAGAATTAGAGGAGGATTTGGATTACCTAATTGGGAGATATACTATCAGGCCACGGCTTTAACATGGATGAAAGAATGGATATTGAGGAATAAAAGGTTATTAACGTTGGAAGGACATGATTTACAAATGGGCTGGCATGCATTTTTGTAGTACAAGAGAGGTAAAATATATGATGCTTTCAAAGGAATATGGTCAGGGATGCATTGTTACGTGTATGAGACACATGATTGAAATGGAATGGATTTATTGTATGTAAAAATAAAAAACTTTTATTAAAAAAAAACAGCAGTGGGAGAGCCAGAATCACTTAACAACCGTGTTACTAACTTAACAACTGCAATAATTCACTTAACTGCGGCAAGAAAAGTTGTAAAATGAAGCAAATCTCCCTTAACCAATGTCTTGCTTATAACAATGTAAATTTGGGGCTCAGTTGTCGTAAGTTGAGAACTACCTGTGTTCTATTTGGCAGAGTGTGATAGACACACAAGGAATTTGTCTCCAGTCTATAAGGTCTTGGTCTACATGCAAAGCAACAGAATAATAATCATCATCATATCAAAGTAATAACAATCAAGCAAAGTCCATGGGGAAGAGAGCCTGTGATGACCTGGGACGTGGCACAAAGGCAACACAGTCAGATAATCAGTAGGAGTCCCTTTATTAGCTGCAACTTTGCCCCCAATGTCCTGGTTACCTTCTGGCTGGAGAAAAACTCTCCCAGGTGAACAGCCTTTGGCTGCAGAGAATCAAGTCCAAAACGTGGTCAACAAAAACTGTAACTATAAGTCCAATCAAGGCAAAATGAGGTAATGAGTCTGGCAGGGCAAGAGAAGGAATTCCAGACATGAAGGAACGGCAGTAATTCAACTCAGTTGAGAGAATACCAGGAACACAGATAACCAAAGTCAACACAAGATAAACTCATGTTTGTTCCCAGCAGATGCCGCTCTCAGCTTGCATTTCTTTTAAACTTTCTTCCCAGGTGTGACTAATGAAAAGAATCAGGGCCCGTTCCTCCCCCGTAAGCCATGCAACCCACGTTGCTCTTTTCTCCGTTCCTCGTGCCTGGGTCTTCCTCTGAACTCCCTCTCCCTTGTTCTACCTCTGCCCAGCCAGACTTTGCCCTTCCCCAGTTTCCTCCACAGCCAACGGTCGTCTTCCTCCTCGGATTCAGACTCCGACAGGGGCATGACAGAGCCATTTATTTAATAATAGCCAAGAGTCATCAATCATGTTCTCCAATTAGAGATTTGCAGGGCAGATTTTGGTAGCTTAGTTATAATCTTTGCAAGATAAGAGTGGCATGCGCTTTCGGTTCCCAACTGCTGAGCTGTACTTTCAAATTTCTCTTCCCACTCCCCTTCTGTTCATGACAACTCTAAAACAAGCATAGAAATGTGTTACTAACTTAATACCTGAGATGATTCATATAGCAACCGTTGCAAGAACGGTCGTAATATGGGGCAACATTCCCTCAGCCAATGTTTTCGCTTAAGCCACAGAAATTTGAGGGTGAATTGGGTCCACAAATTGAGGACTAGTATCTTTGAAAGCCCAAACCACTCCCCAAACACCTGCGTTCCTGGTTCAGCCCGGCCCCCCGGCTGAAAATCAATACGAATCCTTGTCTGCGCTTGCAAAAAAAAAAAAAAAATGACGTTGAAAAGCAAAGCACGAAGGGAACTCAGATTAGTTCTCGATACGGGTCTGAACAGGCAGATCCGGTTCCAGAAGGGAAAAAAAATAAGTAGGTAGCCAATCCATCTGGATTTTCAGTCTCGGTTGTGCCAATCAGTCCTGGCTTGTTGCTTTCGAAAGGACATTTTGTACACAGTGTGTGGTACGCACGTCGATCTCTTCCAGCTGTTTGTGCACATTCAGTGCCCAGGTGGGTGCGAAAGACACTGCATGGAGGCAGTTGAAGGTTTCAGGCATGGTATATAGGGTGTCCTTAGGTGACCCAGCTCTGCTTTCAAAAGCCAGCCAAATTTTATCAACACTTTTGTCAATATTTTCCTGGCCCTTTGTTAGATTCTGGATTATGATTGCTTCCAAGCATAAACTTTCTTTTTTGTACCAACAAAGTTCCTAAAAATATTTTTTCATTCCCTCTGTGGTGGAGAAAGGAATCCGGTGTTACCGGGAAAAATTGCACCTTGATGGTTTGTGCAAAGATAGATAGATAGATAGATAGATAGATAGATAGATAGATAGATAGATAGATGATAGATAGATATAGAGATAGATGGATGATAGATAGATAGATAGATAGATAGATAATAGATAGATAGATAGATAGATAGATAGATAGATAGATAGATATAGAGATAGATAGATAGATGGATGATAGATAGATAGGCAGGCAGGCAGGCAGGCAGATATACATATAAAAATAATTTTTTATTTTTATTTTTTACAACAAAATTATCATTGTGTGAACAGTGTGGTCCTGTAGTGCCTTACATTTTGACACAAATATGACAATCTTCCTCTTATGTAATATAGTTGACAATCTTTTAACATTTGATATTAACACATATAACTTGTTAATTGATCCACCTTCATTATTCAATATTACAAGGTATTATTTTTGTGTCAATCTCTATATTCTTAACCTCATTCCTTTTACTACCAGTTAATATATTAATAATCGTATTCGCCCTGTTTACAAAACTTACAGTTGAAATCACAATTCACAAATGTATATTAAATTATAATTTTCCATTATTTATTCCCTTTTTAATTTCTAAATATACCACTATTATATTAAAAAATCCCCTTTCTAATTACATTTGATACAAGTGCACTAGTAGTCACCATATTTACATTTGGCAAAGTATGCAGTTCTAATAATAGTTATTTTTATTAAATTAAATAGCCTTTCATTATGTTATGTTTCACAATATTATTTTTGTGTCAGTCAAATCCCATATGTCATTTCTTTACCTACAATAACATGTTAACGTCCTTATTTATTACATATAACAGTTATATATCCTCACTAGTACTACACGTTTCTATAAGATCATACTCTTCTTTTCTTTTTATCCATCATCTCCACAGTTTAGTCTCTGACCCATAAAGCTTTTGTGGTACCGGAAAGGGTAGGTGCAACCCAGAAGGACTGTAGAAATAATTTCAAAAAAAAAACCAGATTGTTTAGCACTGAGCCACCTCGTTCAAGGAGAAGGTGGGAGGAATTTGAGTCTACGCTGCATAATAAAGGTGCTTGGACTCAGTCACGTTATCAAATTTTATTGTTTTATTCCAAGGTTTTCCCTTCTTGGCTTTCAATTTTAGGGCGTGTATGTGAGGTTGTAACCTTTCCTCGGCTGATTTCTCTTTGAGAAGTGCAGATTCTTAGTCTGGACAGCTGTGAGGTCTTTTCTGCTGTGAGTTGCAAGTGCTTTCACAAAAGTGCGATGCTCCACAGGTTGTGTATTATTCCTGAGGTTCAGTTCCTGTGTGTCAGTCAGGAAATTCTCATTTTAGCTCCCCTGTGTGGTAAGAGTACTTTGAGGAAACCTCGCCTTCTGTTCCTCCCTCCCTTCATCTTTCCCCTCCTTCCTTCCTTCCTTCCTTCCTTCCTTCCATCCATCCATCCATCCATCCATCCATCCATCCATCGCTTTACCCTTCCTTCAACTTTCCCTTCCCTCCTTCCATCCACCCATCCCTTTCCTCCTTCCTTCCTTCCTCTCAACTTTTCCCCTCCCTCCTTCCATCCATCCATCCCTTCCCACTCCCTTCCTCTTCCTTCCTTCCTTCCTTCCTTCCTTCCTTCCTTCCTTCTTCCTTCCTTCTTTTCTTTCTTTCTTTCTTCTCTTCATCCATCCATCCATCCATCCACCCATCCATCAATCTTTTTCCTTCCTTCCTTCCTTCCTTCCTTCCTTCCTTCCTTCCTTCCTTCCCTCCCTCCCTCCCTCCCTCCCTCCCTCCCTCAGTGCAGTAAAAGTACTCAAGATTAAGAAAAAATAGTATATGGAAAATAAGGGAGAAGAAAAATCAGACTTATAAACTTCCACCCTTCTTTCCATCAATTAATTGCCATCTTACGCTTTCTCCTTCCTCTTTCACCCCTTCTAATCCCTAAATCACCCCTTCACTCATTCTCGTTCCACAAAACGCCCACATAAAGTTTCTAGTTTTTCACCACACAAGTCTTCATATTTTCCTCCTGACCCAACTGGTTAGCATCGCTATTTCCACGAGCCCTGTCAATTTTGCAACCCAATCTTCTCCTCTGGGTATTTCATGATTCTCCCATCTTTGTCCGTACCCCATAGTTCCCACCTGCATTTTGACTTCTCCACCTTTTCAGCTCAACATCCGTCAAACCCAATCCAAATAAATTTAAAAGGTTCATCCCATTGCGTTTCCTGGGCACGCGAAGTCCAGTGCCTTTTATCTGAGATGTTTGTTGAGGGTTGTGTTTGCTCAGAGCGGGAAATGAATGCTAGCTCTTTCACCCTCTGGGGTTACAACATTCATAGAGGCAGGATGACGGATGGACTCCGGATAGTAATGTCCAGCAGGGCTGGATCGCGGGTGCCTCGCATGTTAGCCATGGAAGCACCGAAAATTTGCAAGGAAGGATCTTGCAATACACAGGATTTTTCTCCCACCGCTTTGGCTTCTTCTGAAAAAAGTGGCATGTTAAAAACAAAATTGGAATCCCAGGGCAGCTTCTTCCTATTTCAGGTGTCCTTTTTGGGGTTGGAGGACGTTGATTCTTATTTCAGGTGTCTTTTGGGATGGAGGGGGCTGGAGGGAAACTGAGAGATTCTCAAGAGGAGCTTGGGAGTCAGAATTTGGACTAGCTGAGTCCAAATTTCTCCAGTGGAAGGACCAAAAAACTCACATCCACCTGCTTGCAATTCCAGGATGCGATTCGGACTCTGAACACTCTGCAGACCAACGCCAGCTACCTGGAACAGGTGAAGCGAGAACGGGGAGACCCCGAGCTGCAATTGCAAGCGATGGCTGGGTTCTTGGAACGGACCGGCTTGAAGGTAAATGAGGTTTTTTTTCCCCGTAAAGTTTTTTTTAATTTTAAATAAATATACATCAGTATTATTACATGGACAGTGTGGCATCTGGGTAGCATTCATTGTGACACAAAAATAATATTAGTACAAATGAAAGTTACTACATGAATCAAACTTACGTGATTCTAATATACGTATTTGTTATCAGCACATAATCCTTCATTCTTCAGTTATTCAGGATTTTGTACATCCTTCTAATAATGCCTAATAACACCCTTTTTCAATATCTGGTCATCACCTGTACCTCTCACTTTAAATGTGTTATGCAAAATATTTATAACAATTTCTTTATTCTAATTCTTAGTACAGCCAAACTTATTATTTTTTTAAGGAATCCTTTCTATCCATCGTCACTCATTCTCTTAGAACTTTCACTTCTTCTCTTTTTAACTTGCCTCCCGTATTTCTCTCTTGGGTCCTTATCTTAAATCATTTGTTTTTTGAATTTGAGGCAGGGGCTTCCTTCATTCATGGGGTGGGGAAATATTTGGGAATCCCATTTTTGTGGGTCTTGTGCTTTTGGGGCGGGGGGCGGATGAGTGGAGGCAGGGTGTAGTCTACCCATCCTGGATTCCTTGTACAGAGTCACAATGCCAAAAGCAAAAACTGACCAGAGTTTTGTCCAGCAGGTTGAAGACCTGGATCAACTCAACGTCATTCATGTCACTGGGACAAAGGGCAAGGTGAGGTGGGAGGTCTTCAGGGGTTGAAGACTTTTTAAAATTTTATCAGCGATGAGTAACAACAAACATGACATCTGTGATAATCCCATACGGGATTGTGGACATTCCTGTGTTTCAAATAAATAAAACAAGGGAAGGAGAAAAGGGAGGGAGGGAAAGAAGAAGGGGAGGGAGAAGGAAGAGGGAGAAGCAAGGAAGGAGGAGAGGAAGGGAGGAGAGGAAAAGGACAAAGGAAAGAAGGAGAGGGAGAAGGAAGGAAAGGGAAGGGAAAGGGAGGAGAAGGGAAAGAAGGAAGGAGGAGAGGAAGGAAGGAAAGGAGGAGAGGAAAAGGACAAAGGAAAGAAGGAGAGGGAGAAGGAAGGAAAGGGAAGGGAAAGGGAGGAGAAGGGAAAGAAGGGAGGAGAGGAAGGAAGGAAAGGAGGAGAGGAAAAGGACAAAGGAAAGAAGGAGAGGGAGAAGGAAGGAAGGAAGGGAAGGAGGAAAGGAAAGAAGGAGAAGGAAAAGGAAAGGAAGGAAAAAAGGAAGGAGGAGAGGAAGGAAGGAAAGGAGTGGGAGAAGGAAGGAAAGTGAAGGGAAAGGAAGGAAGGAGAAGAGAAAGGAAGGAAAGGAGGAGAGGAAAAGGACAAAGGAAAGAAGGAGAGGGAGAAGGAAGAGAGGAAGGAAAGTGAAGGGAAAGGAAGGAAGGAGAAAAAGGAAGGAAAGAGGAAAAGAATAAAGGAAGGAAGGAAGGAGAAGGGAAAGGAAGGAAGAAGGAATGGGAGAAGGAAGAGGGAGAAGCAAGGAAGGAAGGGAAGGAGAGGGGAAAAAGGAAAGGAAGGAGAATTCAGTTCTTACAGTTATTAAATCTGGAACGTAGGGAAATAACATTGCTCTGATCCAGTGACCCATTTTTACCATTAGAAGACATTTGCGAAACTGATCGAGAATAATTCTCAAATCCATTCCTTGACACCAAAGTTTGCACATTCACGTAAATATCTGGAAGGGACAACATCTGGCAGAGAACCATAGAGAAGATGGTTGGGGGTAGACCACGAAACTATTTTTAAAATTAATTCGGGGTATGAAGTGAAGGGGTCGGCAACCTACAGCCCCTCATGGGCCTTTTCAAGCCCTTTGGCCCAATTTTCAAAATTCTTGTTTGCAACTGATTCAGGAGAAAACAGGTTGGACCAGATGATGGGCGGCCTGAGCTCCTTCCTTCCTGGCTTGAGTGGGGGCTGATATTTCCCCCCTCCCTTTTTTTTTAACCCATTAGGGTTCGGCATGCGCCTTCACGGAACGGATTCTGCGGAACTACAATTTAAAGACCGGTTTTTACAGGTAAATGTCTTTGTGGGCTGTTTGGGGCTTAGATTATCTTCTGTTCCAGCTGGAAAATTAGCTAGAATGAGTGTATTGGGACTATCTTTGCTTTCTTTTGCCAAAGTCATTCTCCTTATATTTGCAGACCTTTGCTCTTCTCCTTCCACTCCTCCTCCTCTTCTTCTCCTCCTCTTCCTCCTGTCCACCTTCCCCCTCCTCCTGCTTCTCCTCCTCCTTCTTCTTCTTCCTCCTCCTCTTCTCCTCCTCCTTCTCCTTCCCTTTCTCCTCCTCCTTCCTCCTCCTCTCCTCCTCCTCCTTCTCCTTCCCCTTCTCCTTCTTCCTCCTCCTCCTCTTCTTCTCCTCCTCCTCCTCCTCTTCTTCTCTTCCTTCCCCCTCCTCCTTCTCCTTTCCCCTCCTCCTCCTTCCTCCTCCTCTCCCTCTTCTCCTCCTCAACCACCTCCTCCTTCTCCTCTTCTTCTCCTTCCTCTTCTGCTTCCTCGTCTTTTCTCCTCCTCTTCCTCAACCACCAGTACCTCTTCTTCTTCCTCCCCTTTCTTTCTTTCTTTCTTTCTTTCTTTCTTTCTTTCTTTCTTTCT